CCCGACCCACCCCGACTGTGACAAAAATAAAGCAAAAACCCCCCTCGGGTCACTCAGCTCCCGAGTGCGGGGGACAGGTGGCCTCGCCAGCCCCAGCCGTGGCCACGGCCTCACTGCCCATGCATGTGCCACCCCTCACACCCGCTGCATGTGCACAGCCCGGCCCCGCCACACTCTCGGTTCCGTTCCCCCACAGCCCCTGCCCCAAGCCGGACTCACCTGTGGGTTTTCGTTCCGTTTTTAATTTCCCAGGGTCAGTTTGACTTCACCCTTAATTTTGTATGGATTTTTCCCGGAGGAGCTTTCTCCTTCTCCGGAGTCACGGAGGTGCGGCCATTCGCCTCCCGCCCTTGACGTTGTGATACACATCCCCCACAGAGATCTATGTTTCTTATATTATATTATTATTATTAATTATTATTATTATTATTATGTAATAAATTTATAAGAAAGCTCCGTCTGGTCCTGTGGTCGCTCGGGGTTCCGGGGATGGTCCCGGCTCGACACGAGGTGGGGAAAATGGGAGGGACAGAGCCCGGTGGGTGAATTTTGGGGTGTCCCGGGTGAGTTTTGGGGTGTCCCAGTTAAATTCTGGGTTATTCCTGGCTGAAATTTGAAGTGCCCCGGAAGAATTTTAGGATGTTCCTGGGTGAATTTTGGGATATTCTGGGATGAGTTTTGGGGTTTCCTAACTGAATCTTGGGGCGTCCCCGGGTGAATTTTGAGGTGCCTCAGTTGAATTTTGGGATATTCCTGGCCGAAATTTGAGGTGCCCCGGATGAATTTTGGGATGTCCCTGGGTGAATTTTGGGATATTCTGGGATGAGTTTTGGGGTTTCCTGACTGAATTTTGGGGTGTCCTGGCTCCCACAGGTGCCCCCCCAATGCCGCTGTCCCCAGTGTCACACCCAGCAGGTCCCGGCCACCCGCGGGTGTCCCCAGTGCCAGGACAGGGGGTGGCACCCACGGCCTGGCCATGGGGGACCCTCGGGGGACAAAGGACAAGGGACAAAGGACAAGGGACAAAGGAAGGAGCAAAGGGTCCCCAACTCACCTGGGGCTCCCCAACTCCCCTGGGTGTCCTCAGCAGTGTCCCCCAACACTGTCCCAAACATTGTCCCCAACATTGTCCCCACAGCGCCCTCAGATCACACCAAGCAGTGTCCCCACACTGTCCCCACACTGTCCCCACACTGTCCCCAGCTCACACCAATCAGTGTCCCCATCCCTGTCCCCATAGTGTCCCCGCAGTGTCCCCAGCTCACACCAAGCAGTGTCCCCACACTGTCCCCATCCCTGTCCCCAGACTGTCCCCAGCTCACACCAATCAGTGTCCCCACAGTGTCCCCATCCCCGTCCCCACAGTGTCCCCGCAGTGTCCCCAGCTCACACCAAGCATATATTTTATTGAAAGACCAAGTGGGTGACAACGGCGTGGGGACAGCCGGGGCTGGCACAGTGGCTCGGGGGCTCCTCTGGCTGCTGAGTTACAGATAAATATCGGGACATCGAGCGGGCGGTGGCGATATAGTCACGATAGCGCTGGGCGACAGGGGCCGAAGCGAGGGACCACCAGGCACAGCAGTGAGGGGGGGGCGGCCCCGGGACCCCCCC